AAAGGTAACTTGGATATACTGCTTACACACAACCAGAGACTCAGAACAGACTAGAAACAGATCTGTGTTCGAGCCCTGAGGCCTCTGGGCGGGGAGTATGGGGGAGGGGGGGCTTCCTGTGGAATGACCATCCTGATGCCTCCAGGCTGCTTTCCCCATGGCAGTGTGAGCTAAGGAGGCCCTGTGCTGGGGGCCTTCCGCTCAGTGGTCCACTGACAGTGCAGTTACACACCTCGGGGTTGGGGGGGGGGGGGGGGCCCGGGGGGCCCTTGGGAGGGGTTTGGGCGTGCTCTGAGGCCTCCCCCCTCCCAGGGAGGAAGAGTAAGTTCCTACTTAAAAAGAACTTGAAGCAGCAACATGAGCACATCCCCTGGTCCCAAATACTCGCCCCTTCAGAACAGTTCTAGACGGATGCTCGCAAGTAATTTTCCAGGTTTAACCCTGTACGCACACCTAAGGCAGGCGATTTGTCCACGTCAAGATTTCACTTTCTTTAAGGGAGCACGAGAACGCTAGCACACAGAAGTGATTGTAAGCAAGCATGACCTCGGAGATTTTGCAACAGTCATACAGATTCCTTGCCTAGACTCTATTGGGTAGCTTTGGCTCTGAGCGCAGAATAAAGTTTTGGTTAAAAGGTCTTTCTGTTTTTGAGGAGGAATCTTCAAAAGCTTCACATACAAAGTGTTGCTAATCGAGTCATGAGGACACCGTGACGGAGGGGAAGAAAAGAGCAAGACACAAGAGGATGTGCAGCACCTACAACCAAGACACACAGGGGAGGGTTTCCGCAGCCGGGCACTTGAGGCCGCTCACAAAACAGCTGACGCCACTAAGCTGCCACGGGAAAGAGGGGACGTCACTACTAACAAGGACCAAGTGTCCGAGCAGCACGCTGAGGTGGAACTTTAAGGTGCGGGGCAACCCCAGTCCAAGAAGCACAGGAATGTTCTCACTTCCATGCTGAAGAGTCTCCAACATAGGGCGGGGTACAGACGGGAAGGTGGGCGGGCCACGAGCCGCTGCCCGGAGAGGGGGCAACAGCCACTTGGATTTCACGGACATGACTGTACTTACATATTGGAACAGAGACTTAGCAGGCCAATGGTAAGGATGGCATCTGAATCTATTCTTAAGAGGTGGCAATCTCTTCTGCCATCGTCCCCACCAGCGACAAGGGCATGCTTCCCGGAGGCACGTGTGCCCCTGCTCTCCGCAAAGTTTAAAGGAACTCTTTAACGTTAAACACAGCGTGATGGCTGGTGGGCCGGCATCTCACTCACTGCTGCAGCCGCTGCTGCCTCTAGTCCCTGCTGGCTCAGGGTTGGACGGACTGGGGCCTCCACGGGTTGCCCTTCCTGATAGTGAACGGAAGAAAAGAGGAAGGGAGAAGAAAACAAGAGAGGGAGGGCGTGGGGGGGGACGAATGGAGGGGACATGGGAGGATGAAGGTGGCCAGAGAAGGGAGAAGGGGGATCTTGTAACTCAGCAGCTCTCCAGTCGGGGTCATCAGTGAGTGGTGTAGGAGAGGCATGCAACGCGGTCTCTGGGGCTTCCAAGCCGTGCATTCCTGACTAGCCGGGAACCAGGCACGATGCTGAACGTGTGGTGACGTCACTTTGTATGTGGGGAGAGAACCCGTAGGCACACATACATGGAGTAAACACACATGTATGTATGCTGCTTTTGAAAAGGGCGAAAAGAAAAACACCAGCCATGTGCTTTCCACCAAACCTTTTCCCCAGATGTGAGAGTCTCCCGGTTTTGTGGGAGAGGAGAGTGGTTCAGGGTTGGCCCCATGGCTGCCCAGCACACCCCACACGTGGGGATATGACTGCCACCTGGCTCTGGCTGGTGCGGCCTCTAGACAGACCCCGGGCCTGGCCTTTGATGAGCACAGCATGGCACCCAGGAAGGGCCAGACTGATGGCCTGTTCTCTCTATCCCAGCTACCCAGAGCTGACACCAGACATCGGTGCAGCAAGGGCGTGCTTCGCTGTCTCTAGCAAGACCAGACTCGGGGCTGCCGCACAAATACATTACAACGGTATATAGACTCATGGACACAAATGCCTCCGCTGGGGAGAGCAATTCAGTTGCCTTGATTTTAAAGGAGGGGGAAAAATGTCTAGTAGCTTTCAGTCACAAAAATATACCCACCAAATGCTTCCTCCTCAAGTACTGATGGCGAAGGACCAGTGGCTTAGACACCAGCATCCACGGCACACACAGGAGCGCGGTCACCACCAGGAAGCACTGCAGTCCTTTCTGAGCAGAGGAAACACACCAAAGTCCACGCAGCACAGCCCCTCCCACCCCACCCCACAGTTTCATATTAACCAGTGAATAACAGTATCCACTTTCTCAAAACAGTTAAGTGGCAAGTGTGGCAAAACCCGGGACCTGACTGATCTGTGGGCAGGGAGTTATAATTCTTCCCCTTTTGGGGTACTGCAATTAGGGAGGACCCTGCCTCGCGAAGGAAGAGAGAGTGAGTTTAGATCTGGGAAGTATGGGCTGAAAACCAAATACTAGAGAAAGGTTCCCCCACCCCCA